TGTTTTCAACAGTACGTCGAACCCTATGAGTACCACTTCGGTAACATTTTCTCAAAAAATATTCTATTTTTAGTTTTAGACAGTAATAGACTTTTGTTCTATTAAATTTTTCAATTTTTGTGAAAATCGTATAAAATTTCAACATCGATATCTCTTTGTTAATAATGAAATTTAAAAAACTGCATTTGTAGAAAGTCTTAGATAAAAATTGTCTACAAACCCTGAAAATTTCAGACGATTTGGAGAAAGTCGATGTAAACGTGGTAGAGACCCCATGGATTTACCCATCGGAGCATTATCGGTGACATGCTTAATAAGCTAATAATTAAAGAAATATAAAGTTAATTTCGTCAACGTATTCCTGTTATTCATTTTGATTTATACTTAGGGTGTGGGTGTGGGTATGATTATATGATCTACATCAAGCTGACACCCAAGCACAGCGATATCACACTCACACTCCGTCCTAACACATATTGTTTCCGTCAAAAATATCTTAAGAATAGATCTTCTTTTATTAATATTAAAATATGTCTCTGGTATATAAAATCATCAAAACAAAGGAAAAAGCATCAGAATTACACATGACTCAATATGCTTTGACTGTTGGAAATCGATTTGTGCATGGAGAAGGCGCAATGCCGATGTCTCGCATAGGCGTGAAGACAGAATTGATTCTTCCGTCGTCGTTGTCATCGACTTGTCGAAGAAGTCGTTTGACGTGTTGCTTGACCATTTCTTTACTGATCTCAACTTGTTTAATCCATGATTTTCGTTTGAAAAACTGAACCTCTTGCAAACAATGAACGGCAGTCGTGTGGATCGATGCACTAGCACGACGTTCATAGGATTTAATAGTTGCTTGTTGAAGTTTTTTATCGAGAGGAAATTGGAGTGGACCTAAATTTTTTCTTGCTTGGTGATCTGGACGTTGTGTATGAGAATCGCTATCGAGAATTCTACTGCAATTGGTCTGAACAGAAGGAGATTTCATTTTTGTTGTCAATTTCTTGGCAGAATTCTGTAAAGATTGTTCGGCTTTTATCAATAGATCGCGTTTAGTCGTGATTTTCTGTTGTTGGTCATTGACAGCCATACGAGTTGGCGATAATAAGGAATTATCCATAGAAGACATTTTCTTTTGACGATTTGAAGTTATATTTGCAGTGGCCATGATTCTGAGATTTTGTTTTCGTATCGACTGTACGATTGACGCATTCGAAATCGGTGTAGTAATCGGTGGTACAGTAGATTTCTCTTGCTGTTCATGTTCTCTCTTTTCATGAACGATAGGGACAACAGTTTTGCAACTCGTTTTCGATCTTGGTTTAGCTGTTCGATTGCATCCATGTTGATCTAAACATAGGACAAGATGCGTGTGAAATAGTTATTCATCGATAAAAATCTTTAGAAGTTCTCGTCATGAAAATGAATTCATACGCATTCATTCATCGAAAAAATTCGTATTCGAAGTAAATTTGTCCACGTTCTTCTATGCGTCGACTGGTCAATTGAACTTACCATCTTTCGATTCGACTGATACTAGATTGGCTGCGGTCGATTGTGTTCTATATATATTCAACGATCTTTCTGTATTGACGATGAGATTTTGACATCGATGATCCGAGCCGATAAAATTCGAAGTATCTTGATCATTGGAGAGCTCCGATGACGAAACGATGTCTTCCAAAATTACTGAAGAATTTGTAGATGCAAAACTGATCGGTTGTATCCTTGCTGCGAAGAAACCATGTTGAGCCAAGAGTGGAGGATGCCGTGATTTTTGACGGTTGATGGCTGCTGCAGATTTAGCGCGTTGCTGTTCATCAACTCCAAACTGTTTCATGTATGCTTTCATTTTAAGTATCTTCTCACGTTCTTCATCTGTATAACCACTATAGCGGTCAGTTTGGTCTATTGGCCATTTTCTATCGGAAGCGTCGAAGGTATTGTTGAAACCATCGATCAATACTTTGTAACCTAATAAGCCTTTACTATGATAAGCTCGTTTGATGTCAACTGAATTGTCGATGTGAACACCGTATTTTTTCCAAACACGTTCTCGTGCTCGTTCGTACCATCTAAGCAAGCAAGAAACATATATTTGACTGGTATTTATCATGCCCAAAATACAACAGATATAGCAAACCTGATTATTTTACAGTAGCGTGGCACAGAAAAAGCGACAAGATGTGCCGGTGATCGATGCAGTGTTCTGACGTTCGTGTTCGATATTAATAAACTGGCATTATTACTACCATTGGTATTGAGGGGGATTTTGAGATTGAATTGTTTATCATAGAGATATAAATAGATATGACTGTAACGTTGTTTTTCTGCTTTTGTTTTCGATAACATAGACAATGATAATGCCAAGCGATAGGGTAAAAATCCCGATATTGGATGAGTCACTTGAGTACACAAAAGCGAATGTCGTACAAACAAATCGACCATTTTCATGTGTCCTCGTTCAATAGCTATATGAATGGGACATTTGAGCATTTCAGGCATATTTTTTACTGTTGCTTCACTCGACCATTGTCTAGATGGATGTTCGCCAACTGGACAATCACTTCGTGCACCCAATTGCAAGGCATGATGTCCCAAGTTCATAAAACCTATTGTTGAACAACTATTATGTCAAAGGATCAAGTACAGCTTTTATGATAGAACTATTTCTGAATATAAGTTCTTTAGTTCTAGAACATCCTCAATCACGTAGTCACTCGAAAAAATAACGCTTTATTTCCTATTTAATAAAGTAATACTAAAAAACCAACCCTAGTCACAACTTGAATTCTTTTAATATTTTTTGCTCGAAGCATATTTAACTGTTATGTGCCCGCAACTTTGTTGGATGCATATATGTCTAAAGAAGGGTTTTGTCAATAACCCAAGCAGACAAGAATTTCCAAAACCGTGTTGAAATGTATTAATTGCAGGTTGAGTTCAAGCTACTCAAGCCAATGCAACGACTCATCGGTTAAGAAAAAAATTTCTGGTATCTCTGATACAGGAAACTCATGACTACTTACCGTAGAAAGCCGCAAAATGTAGAGCAATCTGCAGTTGATAGTGTCGAGTGAGATCATCATGCGAATAAGGTTTCGAAAATCCTTTCATACATGAATTTAAAAAAATTTCATAACCATGCCACACTTTCAAATAGATATGATCGTATGGTTTTAAATCGTAATGAAACAATTTCATTTGGTCGTACAAACGTCGTTTATTATCGTACGTCTCCAAACAGAATGTACTCAAAGGAAGGCCAATTTGATCAGATATTTTCTTACGTATTTCTCCAATGGTTGTTTCATTAGTGATGGTATCACAGAAGAGCTCCAGTATTTCATTATTTAACCCACAATGAACATAGAGATTGGCAGATTTTTTCTTGCGATATAAACAAGAAATCATGGCTCCTGGTGGAACACCCAGATCAGTCAAGGACCAAGTCGGCTTCAAGTCTGAACCATTGTAATTGAGAAAAATCGACGTTTTAGCTGGATTGTCAATGTCTACATTAAGACCGAATTCGCACTGTACCATATCGATGATTTTTTGAATAGAAGTACCATCTACTACGTCAATTCGTTTCAAGGACTTGGTCGGCGGATAGTAAATAAAATATCGCATTTTTTGTTGAGTATCAATCGATTCACTCTAGAATGATCAAATAATGCACATATTTACTACATTCTTGCTAAGTTTTAATATTGTTGTTCTTCACAAAACACTAAACTATATCGTGACATTCACTTCTCACTATCGAATCTTTTTTTTTGTTGTAAATACAACATTATTTTCCTTACGATTAACATCTAATGAATGAGAGTAATATTCAGATAAATTTATCCATCCTGTTGATGATGGTAGCTGCGTTGCCATTGTTACATGTAGTTTGATTTATTCGTAGATGATACTTACGTATTATTTTCTTTGCGTTACCAAAAGTTTAAGGGCGTGATGAAATAAACATTTAGCCAAATAATAAGACAACGCAAGCAAAAAAAGACGTCGTTATGTGGATGAAGAAAAAGTTACACGTGTATGAGATTCATAATCACTTGTGACTCGAATAAGTATCCTTCAAGAGTTGTACTTGAGTGTTCATTTAAAAACAACAAACGGACGATGTAAAGAGTAACGATTAAAATTGAAAAAGAAAGAAAGGAAGAGAAGTTTTAAGTCATAGGGTGAGCGAAAAGTTTTGATACTTAACTGAAAAAAATTCTGTTTCTCTCCTATTGTAAATTCGAAAATGCTTAAAGCTGGACAACTAATCTCTCGCAACAAGATGAATATTATTCTCAATCTTCATAACTGTAGCCCTAGTAATAGCAGAAATATGTAAACTCAAACTATAGTGAAGATTTTTTTCATATGATATCAGAGAACAAGCAATCCTTGTCATTGAATTTCCGACCAAATTCCATCAGATCGTGTCGAAACCAAACAAAATCCGATAGGATTCTGTCGAATTTTGCATGAATCCGACCTGGTATGACCAGCCTGGATTAATAAATCTTTTATCCATAAAACATCTGTAGAAAAATTAATTTCTATCATACATACAATAGCAAATAATATGATCATTTATGTTTTTGCACATTATTTTAGTCTTTTTCTTTGATCAAACATTGGGATCTTCTTGTAAGTCATCGGCAGTATCAATTGATAACCATCTTTGGTACAAACGATGTGAAGGTAAAGTTTGTTTTCTAAGACTTTTATATTATGAGACATTGATACTTAGTAAAAATGATCAAACACGAAAAAATTGAATTTGGAGAAGAAAAATTTCAAAAAGAAAGTTGTAAAAAAATTGTCGAAAACGAATGATGCACAACGATCATGCATTTATTTATATAGTGTCAATCAGAGCTGAAGGCGTTAAAAGAAATATACTATTGACATCTAATTAATCTTTCAATATAATTATTCGGTGTTTCAATTTCATTATGTCATGGTGAAAACATCTTCGCTTTAGTTCGAGTTTATATATCTATGCTACTACTAGGGCTATAGTATAGAAAATTTAAAATAATATTCACGTTGTTGCGAGAGATTATATGTCCAATTTTGAGCATTTTTGTAAAAGAATTTTTTCTATGAATTACCAAAGCTTTCGATTCATCCTGTATTAGTCGATTTAAAAATCAACTAGCATTCTTTTTTTTACTTCCTGTGTGTCAGGAGTATAATGAAATTGGAAGTGCATGCCATGCAATTGTAATGAGAAAGACGAATTCACACGGAAAACAGAAGGTTATTCTATTCAAGCAACTATCATCTGTGCATTCAATCCCATGCTTCATGAAGAGGGTTAGCTATCATTTACGAGAAGTTGTAAATCACATATTTTTGACAAATCAATCTTTAATTAGTTTATTCATTTGTATTTCTTCTGCATATTATAACATTGGCAAAATGGTGGGTATGGGTGTGGGTGTCAGTATGAGTGTGGATGTAGTATGCATTCGACAGTCACATCCATACCCAGAGGTACAGAGTATACCGTACAAAAAGAAAATTTTCTCAAGCATTGAAGTTTTTTTCAAAAAATTTCCCCGACTAGAAAAATAAAAAGCAACAAGGTTTCTTTGTATAGAATATATATTTATTATGAAGAAAGGGCACCGATATAGAGTGAAGTGTGGGTGTGATTAGAGATTATACTACACCCACACTTGATCTGCAACAATGAACCAATATTACTAATCAATATAATTTTCATAAACAGTTTGAAAAAGACTATGAGCTTCTAACAAGATCATCTACCGATCCTGATTAATGTTAGATTTGGCTCTATAATTTGAACAAAAGATGGCTATTAGATAAATAAATGAAAGTAGTCGCAACAGAACAATCAATCGAACAAACTATCATATTTCCACATTTTCTATCATTTATTGATGAAATCAAACAGTATCGTGTAGTATATATAGAATTTATTCATGAACACAACTCACAACTACATCTAATTGACTATATCGATGAACTAATTAAAAAAAAAAGAATAACTTTATCCCTTACTTTCTTTTTCCAATTTTAACAGAGTCATTACAGCAACTCCTCTCCATGAGTTTCGTTTGCGTGTGCCGGTATAGATCTGAGTGTGAGTGCCAGTGTGGGAGTGGGTACGGGTGGAATTATATATACTATTGTTCTCTTCTTCCACACCCACATCCACACATTGAACTACTCGTACTGCTCATATATGAGATACAATAAACTATTGCTTCGTTTCGTCATGAAAAAGAAATTTCGAGATATAAGTGTAATACGCTTGTATATGAAAATATCAGTGTATACTTTCTCATCGTAACAATATCACACGTAAAGGAAGGGAAAAAAACAGAGAAAATATTGAAAGAACGAAATACATTTGATGATAAGTCTATCGATGAAAAAAAATGCCCACCTGATGAAAATGTCATGCTGGATTGATTCACGTAAAAATACCCCAGTGAAAAAAAAACAAATTCGTCAATTCTTAATAAGAAACAAAATCGGTTGCAATCATACAAAGCAAAACTCACACACATTAATATCACTAATTAAGTGAGTATATTTAATTTTTTTTACATTATTAGACGAGCGATGAAATTAACATTGAATGTCGAGAGTAGCTACAAAGAACGAAAATGACGAGACACGGAAATGAGACATTTTAATTATCAGAAAGTAATTTCAAGAAATCTTCGATGAAGGATGTTCAGCACGTGGAATCAAGAGTTTTGAAGGAAGTAGCTCTTACATGTTAAATAGTTCTGCCACAAAACATATGAAACAGAGTGATTCTTATAATACTTACATTTCACCGAGAATCATGGTGATGAAAGACACGAATCTCACTCTTAGGAAGCGAACAAAGAAATGAATGTAAGAACTGCTAATAGACTAAGGATGTCAATTTATAATTACTTTAAATTTGATTTATGCGCGAATTAAATTATCAGTATTTTAAACTTAAAATAAACTAAATTATTTTTATTCGTAATTTTAATTTGAAAATAATGAAAATTGTAGTCAAATTTAATTTACATAGGTTAGTCAATAAGTTCTCGGACTTTCAAATATTTATTCATAGAAAAAACATTTTACTAATCTTTTTACAGTAAATGTTCAAAGTAGTCCCCATGATGTTCAGTACAAAGTTTCATCCTTTTAATNTTATGATTCTACAGAACAGACCCCATCGATATCGATCGAATTCCTTCTGATTCCGGAATTCCTTCCAATTCCGGGAATTCCTTCCAATTCCGGAATTTCTTGTAATTCCGGAAATTATTCTCGCCCTCACCCACACTCATGGTGATGTGGCTGATGATTTATCCTTATGATAAGTTAGTAATTCCGGTACGGAATTCCGGGAATTGAGTCGAGACGGAATTGCTGGGAATTGGAAGGAATTCCTTCCGATTCCGGAATTCCCTCCAATTCCGGAATTCTTTGTAATTCCGGGAATTCTTTCCAATTCCGGAATTCCTTGTGATTGCGGGAATTCCTTCCAATTCCCATTAATTCCGTCTCCACTCAATTCCAGGAATTCGTGGAACTCGGTTGATATCGAATAGGTCTCTTTTGCTGAATGATGACGGAGTTCC